GCTTTTTTTTTTGCTTATGTGGTGCTGAGGAATCGAACCCAGGGCCTCATGCATGCAAGGCAAGTGCTCTACCACTGAGCCACCTTCCCAGCCCCCCCCTTTTTTTTTGTCAGTTGTGGAGCTTGAACTATGGGCCTGGGCACTGTCCCAGAGTCTTCAGATCAAGGCTAGCGCTTTACCACTTGAGCCACAGCACCCACTACTTCTGGCTTTTTCTGTGTATGTGGTGCTGAGGAATCGAACCCAGGGCCTCATGCATGTGAGGCAAACACTCTACCACTGAGCTACCTTCCCAGCCCTACGCCTTATTTTTGATAGCGTTAAAAAAGTACCAAATTAAAGGGTTTGGAGAATACACAAATAACCAAATAGAAAAAAGTCTTAATAAGAAAGAAGTGTATCAGAGAAAAGGACTTATCTTTTCAAGCCTTCTTGTTGGACCCATTTGTGTTTAGACTCTTACCTCCAACTAAATAGCAAAATCCAAAAGTAGAGGTGTAGCTTAAGTGGTAAAGCACTGGCCTTGAGTGAAAAAGCCAAGCAGGATCTCTGAAGTCCTGAATTTAAGCCCCAGTACTAACACAAAAAAGGAAGTATGATCGAGCATTGGGCAGGGCTCAGAGGCAATAGGGACCAGATGCTTATAACTTGTCTCCAGTGTAAAGATTAAGACTTCTAGTCTACACTGTCCCTCAGCTCCAGCAGAGGGCACTGCGGGACAGTATCAGCAAGCACAAAGATGCTGATTCTGGCAGTGCATGAATTGAAACCCACAACTCCAGGTCCAACCAGCAGGGCAAAGCACCTGACATCATAGCCATTGCAATCTGTTTGAACACTGACTTACTCATGAGAAGATATTTGTGTGTTTATTAGTTCCCCAGGCCAGAACTGGGAACTCCTGACTATGAGATCATTCCATTCTTTCCACACATCTTTTGCCTAGGTCCTGTTTGGCAAAGGTGTTCTGTATGCTTAGAAACAGAGTCACGGCACACTTCTGCAGCCTCCTGTGTCTGTTGATTTAGCAGAGCAGGTTTTTTCAGTCCACAGTGATCTGCAGTGTTTACCCCATGGCTTTAGTGTAGTTTGGATGCTATAATAAGCCTGAGGAGGGAGAAGGTTCTCCTTGTGATATTTGAGGGCCTTTGCTGTGCATTCTTAGTGTGGTGCCATATCTGGCTCAGAGCCAGGCCTCACCAGGTAGCCAGCAGCACTTGGTGGCTAGAAATGTACACTAGTGTCAGGCATGGGGCAAAGGGGCTCTCAGGGATGGTGGGGTGAAAATAGGAACAACCACTTAGAAAACTAATTGGCAGATTAGTATGGTTGGTGATTTAGCAATCTCTCAACTAGGTATAAACCCCAAAGGAAGTGTGTCCATGTGCACAAAGAGGTACATCTGTAGATCTTTCCAACAAGAGCAGCTGGCAAGTGCTAGAAGCAGTTGTATACAACCATAGAAAGGGTTAAATTCACCAAGGTGAAAGAACAGGCCATCTCTAACTAGCATCGTCAAACCTCTTAAGCACAGCATTATAAATTGGGCCCGGCACTGGTAACTCATGCTAGCTACCAGCTCAATCCTAGCTACTTAGGAGACTGGGATCGAAGATTGCAGTTTGAAGCCAGCCCTAGCAGAAAAGTCCCCATAAGACTCTTTATCTCCAATTAACCACTCAAAAACCAGAAGTGTCACTGTGGCTCAAGTGGTAGAGTGCTAGCCTTGAGCTCAAAGAGGCTCAGAGACAGGGCCCCAGGCCTTGAGTTCAAGCTCCACAACCAGCGAGAGAGAGAGAGAGAGAGAGAGAGATTGGTTGAGCATGGTGGTACACACCTGTAATTCTAGTACTCTAAGAGGCTGAAGAAGGAGTAGTGTGTTTGAAACCAGCCTGGTTGTAAGACCCTGTCTTTGAGGGGAAAAATGCTTTGGAGATGTTAGGCCTGTGTTAGAATCCTGTTCAGCCATTTGTCTGCTATGGTGGCCCTGAATAAAATACTTATCATCTTGGAGCTTCAGTTCCTTCATCTGTAAAGCAGATCTGAACCCTCCTGAAGATACCTATACACAGAATGAGGTTCCAGGTTGCTACAAAACCTAGAACCCAGGGAAATCAACCATAGTTCATAAGTAGGACTTGTCAGGAAGTACACCAGTAAGGACTGTCTTTGGCTGAAAAGTAACAAGAAACCTAGCTAGCTCTAGCCATACTATTTGCATACTCCATCACTCCACCCACAAACACCCAGGACAAGGTCATTGTTTGTCTCTTTTACGAAGAACAGAAAGGGTACATTGGAGGTAAGAACCAATGTGCCACAGTGAAACCAATGGAGGATATCCTTAAGAGAAGAACACAAAGGTGCAATGCCTATGTGCATCTGATCATACAAAATAATATTTATTGAAATGAACTCCAGGAAATGGAAACAAAAGGTTTTTTCTTTGTTGTTGTTGTTTCTTTTGTCTTGTTTGTTCATTTACCTGTCTTTGGGAGGGTAAAGGGGAGGCACGGAAATGGAGGGACAAAGTACTCACTAGACACTGTGTTGAAAATGAACTATACAGCTTGTGGGAAGGGATAAAAAACTGGGAGAGAGCAAGGGAATGGGTGACATTGTCCAAAAGAAATGTACTCATTTCCTGACTTATGTATCTATAACCGCTCTGTAGATCACCTTTATATTAACAGTGTTTTAACTTACACTTTTTGTAAGGGGGGGGGCGGTTGTGAGGCCTGAACTCTGAGCCTGGGCGCTGTCCCTGAGCTCTTCAGCTCAAGGCTAGTGCTCTACCACTTGAGCCACAGCACCACTTCTGACTTTTTCTGCTTATGTGGTACTGTGGAATCAGACCCAGGGCCTCATGCATGCAAGGCATGCACTGTACCACTGGGCCAACTTCACAGTCCTATATTAACAATCTTTAAAATTTAAAAACCAGTGTGCACTCACTGCACTGTCACTGGGCCCATTTTTGAGTCACAGAATAAGAAGTACAGACTCAAGAGGTCTGAGGTCACCTGGTTGGGATCACCAAAAGGAGGCAACAGGTTTCAGTCCTGCCTCAGCCCCAGAGTAGTCTGCCCTCAGAGCGTCTAACATCACTCCTGTGCTCAAAGCCCTGAGAGCCCCTAACCTTCCTACTCTCTCTTGAGCAGCTCATCACCCTGCGAGGCTCCATCCTCGAGGATGCCACACCCACAGCCACCAAGCATGGCACTGGACGGGGCCTGCCCCTGAAGGATGCACTAGAGTATGTAATCCCTGAGCTCAACATCCACTGCCTCCGACTGGCCCTCAACACTCCCAAGGTGACAGAGCAGCTGCTGAAGCTCGATGAGCAGGGGGTGAGTAGGGGCTTAGGGTATAGGGCTGTTGGGTGGCTGCTGTCCTTGTCACTGAATTTATTTTTGGCAAGTTAATCAGTTTCAGCAGCAGGAAAGAGACATTGTCCACTTCTAAAGGGACTAAAAGCACTATTTTCAGAGCGAAACAGCCTAGGAATGAGATGGCCACCAGGGGTTCCTGCACATGCCATGCATATACAGGGAGAGAGGCATCTTTCCTCTCTACCTCTGCACACTAGCTATGGGCTTCTCCAGCCCCCAGTGTAGCTGTTGGACTTAACAACCATATGCAGACTCCACCTAGCTGAATCTTAGGGCCTCAGAGCTGCTGATTGGTCTCCACTGAAATATAGCATCTATCCCTATTACTGGGGGGTCACCCCCTAAGTAACAGCCATAGCCCCAAGCCCTCCAGGTATTGCTTTGCAGGAACCTTGGCAGTGCATGTCCACTTCCTGTGGGAAGCCAGAGCTACTGGCTCTGCCTCAAGAACCACGTTGCTAGCTGTCCTCTACCTTCTGAACAGAGTGGGCACCTAATCATGCCTGGGAGGGAGGAGAGACAGACAGGACATTCTCATTGCAAAGGCAAGGCAGACCATGGTGTAAGTTCTAAGTGGTCTCATAGCACTTGGGTTCAGTACCTCAGAACTCTCTGCCCTGTCCTCTCAGACCTCCCTGCCAGCCAGACCCACACAGCCCTCTTGCCTTCACAGCTGTGCCGCAAGCACAAGGTGGGCATCCTGTACTGCAAGGCTGGCCAGAGCTCTGAGGAGGAGATGTACAACAACGAGGAGGCTGGTCCTGCCTTCGAGGAGTTCCTTGACCTTTTGGGCGAGAAAGTCTGCCTGAAGGGCTTCACCAAGTATGCTGCCCAGCTGGATGTCAAGAGTAAGTGGAGGGCTTGTCATCCCAGTTCCTGAAAGGTGGAGATCTGGAGGATTGTAGTCCAAGGCCAACTCAGACAAATAGACCCTATCCAAAAAACAAAGCAAGAAAGGGCTGAGTGTGACTTGAGTGGTAAAGCACCTGCCTAATAAGTGCAAAGTCCTGTTTTTCTAAACCCAGCATAACAACAACAACAAAAGAAGGGGCAACTTAGCAGGAAGTCATCACCATATACCCACCCAACAGGCAAAAGTGAAAAGGCCTGATGCTGCTGAGGGGAAATGTGGACCAGGGGGAACTCTTGGGTGCCATTGTTGGGAAGGAAGCCATTGGGGAAAACATCATAGCATGTGTCAGGAAAGTATGAGAATAGCCTCCTGCAGGACAGCAATTGTGCTGCTACACCTTATACCAGGGGTGTAGCCTATATGATAGCCACAAATACCTGTGGAGTATGCTGTAGATGTTCATGCAGGGGAGACATGCGTGCTTCTTTGTGCCTGGAGCCTTTTGTGCCACATTGTTTGTACAATTCACCCGTGTTGCAACCATGCCTCACTCCTCCTGGCAAGGTATTTTCCCACAGCTTGGTATATCAGCGTGTGCTTGTCCACCCTTTGGCTAAAGGTGAGAAGATTCTCATACCCACATCCCAGGGATATGTGATTTCTCTAGACTATGTCCTAGGATGACAGCTCTGGGTTACCAATTAAGCCTATCTTCAGGTTTTCCAAAATGTTTGCATCAATTTGTTACACACCTAGTCAGCCATATAGAGTGTTCTAGTTTCTCCACATCCTCACCAACCGTGGGTACTATAAGACTTTTTTAGTTTCTGTCAATGTAGTATGCATGTAATGGGAGGTAAAATTACTTCTTGTATTGAAGTGTGGATTTAAGTTTAAAGGGAAAAAAAAAATAAAAGCTAGCCAGATGGTATGTGGGATATGGCAGAAGCCCAGAGGCTCTGGAGCTGCAGTCCTAACTTGTGCTTCTGTCCCAGCTGACTCCACGGGGACTCACTCCCTCTACACAACGTACCAGGATTATGAGATCATGTTCCACGTCTCCACTCTGCTCCCGTACACCCCCAACAACAGGCAGCAGGTCAGTGGTCTCCAGCTGGCCCACACTTAGGCCCAGGACCTTCTCTACTTACCATCCTGCTCCAGTGGCTGTTTTCTGCCCATCCACCCAGTCCTGATACTGATATGTAGATCTAATGGAGGTCTTTGGTCTTGGAGAACCTTGACACCATGGCTATGCCATGAAGGAGCTAGAGACTGAGGGATGAAGATAAACAGGGAAATGATGATATCTGAGACCAGTTCATCTTTGGCTACTACGTTAGCCTCTAGCTACTCCAAATCCCTTCATCACTGTTCCTATGGAAAAGAAGAGTGAATTAGTCTCCATAAAAGTTTGACCACAGGGGCTGGGAAGGTGGCTCAGTGGTAGAGCGCTTGCCTTGCATGCCTGAGGCCCTGGGTTCAGTTCCTCAGCACCACATAAAGAAAAAGGCCGGAAGGAGCAGTGTGGCTCAAGTGGTAGAGCGTTGGCCTTGAGCTGAAGAGCTGAGGGACAGCGCCCAGGTCCAGAGTTCAGGCCCCACGATCGGACCCAAAAAAAAAAAAAAATTTTTGACCACAAACTCAAACCAAACTGACATAAGACAAAAATGGAATTCATTGGGTTCTATCTCTCCAGTGCTCTGGGAGAGGGTTGGCTTCAGGTATGGCTCAGGTGATCTTAGAAATCCTCTCAAGTTCTCACCTCTGCCTTTCTTTGTAGTGGCTTTATTCACAGTGTTGCAGGATTCACAGTATTGCAGGAGCAACAAGGGCCGGTGTGGGAAGTTACATAGGCCACATCAGAGGCAGTGGGCCTCTGCATTGGGGAGGCCTCTGAAGCCATGCCAGAGACTTTGACTTTGTGTCTGTGGAGAGGGTTTCCAGAAGGTCTCTGGGCAGGGAGAAACAGGACTTGACTCATGTTCACAGATTCTCTCCCTATTCTGATGTCCATTTACCAGTTACTGAGGAAGAGGCACATAGGGAACGACATTGTGACGATCATCTTCCAGGAGCCCGGTGCGCTGCCCTTCACCCCCAAGAACATCCGCTCGCACTTTCAGCATGTCTTCATCATCGTCCGAGCCCACAACCCCTGCACTGAGAACGTCTGCTATAGGTACAGCCAGTCCATCCTACACACGCCTACTGGCCCCCACAAGAGCTGCTCCCAGCACTCCAGCTAGGCCTGTCACATGTCCCACACTGCTTCAGAGAGTGTTCCAACCACCACAGCACAGGACTCCCTAACTCTGATAAGGAAGCCTTTGGGAATTGTGTTGGTATGGGGGATTCTGTAAGTGACAGGAAACCCACTTCAATCTGCCTGTGCACAAAAGCAGATGTGTACATCAGCTCTTCAGGAGGAGGCTCGGAGGCACAGCTGGGTGTGCTCCACATTCCCTAATGGTGCCTCATTTTCTGGCAGCTCTTGCTTAACATTTAAGCAGCTACAAATCCAGCAACAGAGAGAGAGAGAGAGAGAGAGCGCTCTCCTAGTTAAAAAAAGGCCCCAATGGAGGCAGTCCAGTGGTTGCCAGTGGTTGCCCCACTACATGGACAGAGGGGAGAGGGGCCCAGGGTAATGGCCTTGAGGAAATCCAGGGGTAGAATGACCAGACAAGATGCTGGGTGCTGGTGGCTCACGCCTGTAATCCTAGCTACTCAGGAGGCTGAGATCTGAGGATCACGGTTCAAAGCCAGCCCGGGTAGGAAAGACCGTGAGACTCCTATCTCCAATAAACCACCAGAAAACCAGAAGTGGCACTGTAACTCAAGTGGTAGAGCGCTCGCCTTGAGCTGAAGAGCTGAGGGACAGCGCCCAGGCCCAGAGTTCAAGCCCCACGACCGACAAAAAAAAAAAGAATGACCAGACAAGAGCCATCTGTAGAGGTAGAGTTAAGAGTTTTAGTTCACAAATGACAAGTAGCAGGTCTTGAACCTGCTATGTATTCTCTCCAACATTTCTGAAGTGCTCCCCAGATTAAATGGCCATCCCCAGAGGACAAAGGGAAATCCCCCAGGGAGTAAGAGCAGGATACAGCTGTATCCTCAGCCATACCCACTTAGCACTCAGGCCCAGATCATCAACTTGTCCCTGTAGACTGGGAAATGGGGTAGGATGCACTGTTTTCTATCTTTCAAAGATAGTTTTTGAAACTGAAAAGATAGAAGAGTGAAGAAGAATGTCTCTCCAATCACCTAGATGCTCTCACAGATGCAGCCGTGGTGGCTGTTTCTGTGTGTCCTGAGTCCTGGGCCAATATGTGGACACACCTCCTCCACCTTAATACATTTGTGCCACTGTGCACACTGTCCCGCAACTTATTAATAACTGTAGAACATTCCATTGGGGGGATATGTGATAATCTGTGCCCTCCACTGATGGGCATTGGGGCTGTTTCTGCATTCATTGCACGTGCCACCAAGCATGCGGCTGTAGGATCAATTCCCACAGCAGAAATGCTGGGTCAAAGGTAGGTGCCTTTGTGCACTGCTAATGTTGGTAGAAGTACTAGGTGTCGGAGAGAAGAGGGGTCTTCCAACATGCAGCCCATGCTTATGAGCAGCACTGCTGGACACATTGCCCAGTGGCTTCTGGGGCTGGCACATTGTGACATCTACAGGCACATCCAAGGCCACTCTCTCCCAGCCCATCCATTCCTGGACATAGGGCAGTAGTTACAGAATGCTGGCTGCTTGCACAGGATGGATGGCAGAGATTAAAGGTACAACTATTCCTTGGCAGCTGACAGCCCTGGTAAGGGAGAATGGGAGTTGTTGCACACCATGGAAGAGAAGGCAGTACCTGTGTCACAGATGAGGAGTTGAGTTAGCCTTCTCCCATCCTTGTGTTTGCTCTATTTCTCTCCTAACTGGCACTCCTAGCAGCCATTTCTCCAAAACCTGCCTCTGCTTGGTCTTGGGAATGACCATCTTTCTGATGCACAAACTTTTTCTGTTTTTTGTTTTTTTGGAGGGGGGTCCGGTCATGGGGCCTGAACTCTGGACCTGGCGCTGTCCCTCAGCTCTTCAACTCAAGGCTAGTGCTCTACCACTTGAGCCACAGCGCCACTTCCAGCTTTTTTCTTTTTGCTTATGTGGTGCTAAGGAATCGAACCTAGGGGCCTTATACATGCAAGGCAAGCGCTCTACCACTGAGCCACCTTCCCAACCCCCTTTTTCTGTTTTTTTTATAATTTAATATGAGAGAGTTTTATTGCCAGGTGTATTATAGGAAGGCATGTCCAGAGGCAAGAGAATTAGGAGTTCCAAACTAGCTGGGACTACATAGGGATCCCCTATCTCAAAAAAAAACTTTAAAAGAAAAAAGAAAAGGAAAAAAAAGATATATTATGTAATACTTTAAACACTTTGAAAAGTACAGAAAATAATGTAACAGACACCCATGTGCCCACCACCAGATGTTAACATTTTGCCTTACTTGCTTCAGCTTTCTTTCTTTTCTTTATTTCTAAAGCAAGAAATGTCAGTGATACAACCAGAGCTGCCCCTCACCCATTCTCTGAGCAGACCCAAATGAGTGCTGGGCCCCACTGCACCCAGGCTGGTCTAATCCTCTGCCCTCCTCCTCCTGCACCCAGTGAATTTCTGATTGTTCTTCAAGACTGAACAAGACAGGTTTCTGGCACATTCCATAAGCTCTTGCCAAACATACTTCTACCACAGTTCTTACTACCCCACCATCCATACCATTTGCTAGTGTGGCCTTGCCTCCCTAGCCAGGCGCTTGGAGTCATATTTGCCTTCCCTTATCTATTGTGGGAGAGTGGTGGGCCCATAGTGAGCCCTGAAATGCCTGACTTGTGCCAGGCATTTCATTATAGTGTTACACCTCTAATCCTAGCTACTCAGGAGGCTGAGATCTGAGAATCATGTTTCAGAGCCAAGCCTGGACAGGGAAGTCTGTGAAACTTGTCTCCAGTTAACCACCAAAAAGCCAGAAGTAGAGCAGTGGCTCAAGTGGTAGAACTCCAGCCTCAAGCAAGTCAGGCAAATCCAAAAAAACACATTTTATTTGGGTTACCTGAAGTATTGTTTTATCTGTGGACTCTTTTTTTTTTTTTTAAAGACAGAGTCTGACTAGTCCAGGCTTACCTTGAATTCACTATATAGCTAGGCTAGCATTGGACTTGTGACCCTTCTGTCTGCCTTCTGAATGCTGGGAAGGTAGGTATGCCACTCCAGGTTTAACCCAGTCTATTCATTGAAAAACTTTCCTTGCGGAGGAGGAGCAGTAGGAGCTCTCAGTACTCACAGGCTGAGGTTTCCATAGAGGACAAATAAAATATATCAGCACCTGAAGGATGTGGCTTGTTCTTTACACCAACTTACACACATGCAGGGTAAGCATTCTGAAAGCTATCTTCCCCTGACCTTGACTGAATACCCTAGCAGGTTCCTTGACCTTTCTGTTCACTTTTAGAAATGGTCTGCCCAGGGGCTGGGAAGGTGGCTCAGTGGTAGAGCGCTTGCCTTGCATACATGAGGCCCTGGGTTCAATTCCTCAGCACCACATAAGCAGAAAAAAAAAAGCCAGAAGTGGCGCTGTGGCTCAAGTGGTAGAGCGCTAGCTTTAAGCTGAAGAGCTGAGGGGCAGCGCCCAGGCCCAGAGTTCAGGCCCATGACTGGACCCAAAAAAAAAAAAAAAGAAGAAGAAATGGTCTGCCCAGGGCTGGGAAGGTGGCTCAGTGGTAGAGTGCTTGCCTTGTATGCATGAAGCCCTGGGTTTGATTCCTCATCACCACATAAGCAAAAAGAAAAAAGCCGAAAGTGGCACTGTGGCTTAAATGGTTGAGCACTAGCCTTGAGCAGAACAGTTCAGGGGTAGTGCCCAGGCTCAGAGTTCAGCCCCCACAATCGGGGGGGCGGTGGGAGGAGGGGATGGTCTGCCCAAAGACCAATCACTATTGGGGTGTGTGTGTGTGTGTGTGTGTGTGTGGAAAACTCCTACTTTTGATCTGACCTTTTTTTTTAAGATCTTAGTGCTTTTCTTTCCATGTCTTAATAACTTCTCCCTTCTCAGCATGGCGGTGACCCGATCCAAAGATGCTCCTCCTTTTGGCCCCCCTATTCCCAATGGAACCACATTCCGCAAATCTGATGTCTTCAGAGACTTTTTGCTGGCCAAGGTGATTAACGCTGAGAATGCTGCACACAAGTCTGACAAGTTCCACACCATGGCCACCAGGACCCGCCAGGAGTACCTCAAGGACCTGGCTGAAAACTGTGTCTCCAACACCCCCATCGACTCCTCTGGCAAGTTCAACCTCATCTCCCTGACCTCCAAGAAGAAGGAGAAGACAAAAGCCCGGGCAGGCGCTGAGCAACACAGTGCAGGGGCCATCGCTTGGCGGGTAGCAGCTCAGGACTATGCCCAGGGGGTAGAAATCGACTGCATTTTGGGAATTTCCAATGAGTTTGTGGTGCTCCTGGACCTACGCACCAAGGAAGTAGTGTTCAACTGCTACTGTGGGGATGTCATTGGCTGGACCCCAGACTCCTCAACACTGAAAATCTTTTATGGCCGAGGGGACCACATCTTCCTACAGGCCGCAGAGGGCTCTGTGGAAGACATAAGGGAAATTGTCCAAAGACTAAAGGTAAGAGGGAAGGCTCAGCAGTGGTGTACCAGTTCCCATGGTTGGCAGTGGCCTCTGAAAATACATTCCTCCATTCAGTCAGTCTGGGACAAGTCGGCCTTAAGAAAGTCAGAATTGTCCCACTGTAGGTATGGTGAGGCCTACTTCCAGGAGAAGGTGTAGGCCAGAGAGCTATGGCTTTCCATGCCTTCACCTCAAAAGGACAGACGACATGCTTATTGATCCTAAAGTTGATAGGAAATACAAGTTTAAACTTAGGTTAAAAATGTAAGTGGTAGCCGGGCACTAGTGGCTCACATCTGTAATCTTAGCTGCTCAGGAGGCTGAGATCTGAGGCTCGTGGATCAAAGCCAGCCTGGCAGGAAAGGCTGTGAGACTCTTATCTCCAATAAACAACTCAGAAAACTGGAAGTGGCGCTTTGGCTCAAGTAGTAGAATGCTAGCCTTGAGCTGAAGAGCCGAGGGACAGCTCCCTGGCCCAGAATTCAAGCCCCACTATCAACAACAAAAAAAAAAATGTAAGTGGTAAACCAGGCACCAATGGCACATGCCTATAATCTTGGCTACTTAGGAAGCTGAGATCTGAGGATCACAGCTCAAAGCTAGCAAAGGCAAGAAAGTAAATGGGATTTTTATCTCCAATGAACCACCAGAAAGCCAAAAATAGAGCTGTGGCTCAAGTGGTAGAGCACCACCCTTGAACACAAAAGCTCAGGGACAGCACCCAGGCACTGAGTTCAAGCTACAGGACTAGCATACACAAAAAAGCTCACTGGTAGTTGGGCATGGTGGCTCATGTAATCCTCAGCTATTTGAGAGGATAAGGAGGATTGTGGTTCCAAGCCAATCTAGATAAAAAAAATTTGTGTAAAAGCTGGGCATGGTGGTATACACTGTCATCTCATCTATATCAGAAAACATAAATGGGAGGATTACATTCTAGCCCTGCTTAGGCAAAAAGCAATAGCCTATCTCTAGAACAATAAGAGCAAAAAGTTAAAGGTATGAGCCGGGCGCTGGTTTTTCACACCTGTAATCCTAGCTACTCAGGAGGCTGAGATCTGAGGATTGCGGTTCAAAGCCAGCCCAAGCAGGCAAGGCCGTGAGACTTATCTCCAGTAAACCACCAGAAAACTGGAAGTGGCGCTGTAGCTCAAGTTGTAGAGTGTTAGCCTTGAGCCGAAGAGCTGAGGGACAGCGCCCAGGCCCAGAGTTCAAGTCCCACTACCAACAACAAAAAAGAAAGGGCTGGGAAGGTGGCTCAGTGGTAGAGCGCTTGCCTTGCATGCCTGAGGCCCTGGGTTCGATTCCTCAGCACCACATAAGCAGAAAGAAAAAAGCCGGAAGTGGCGCTGTGGCTCAAGTGGTAGAGCGCTAGCCTTGAGCTGAAGAGCTGAGGGACAGTGCCCAGGCCCAGAGTTCGGGGCCCCACAACTGGACCCCCAAAAAAAATTACTTTTCAGCTAGGGTCTCATGCTTTAATCTAGGGTTGACCTCATTGTAATCTCCCTACCTATATCTTCTGTGATGTTGGGATGACAGGCAGGTACCACCATTCTGGCCTAATTTGCATTTTGCTAATCACTGATAGGATTGAGCATCTTTTCATGTTTATTGTCACATATATAAATTTGTTGATTGTGTGCACACAATACTTACATATACATTTGAAGCCTGAGAATTCCAGAGGAATGGGTAGAGTGAACACAAAAGATGATGCATTGCCCTGGGAGAGGAAGATCTGGAGAGCTCCTGTTGGGGGATGTGAGGATATTCAGACAGCCAGGATGGTACCCATGGGTACCTCATCAGCTCCCCAGCACAGTGCTTCATAGCCCAGGATTTACCAGCCTGGAGAATTTCCTGGCAGAGCTTAGGTACTATCTCTTAGCTTTTTTACTCCAGGCTGGCTCTCTACCACTTGAGCCACAGCTCCACTACTGGCTTTTTGTTGATTAATTGGAGATAAGAGTACTCTAGACTCCTCTACCTGGGATTTCTTTTTTTTTTGGCTGGGGGGAGGGGTCCAGTCGTGGGGCCTGAACTCTGGGCTTAGGCGCTGTCCCTCAGCTCTTCAGCTCAAGGCTAGCGCTCTACCATTTGAGCCATAGCCCCACTTCTGGTTTTTTATTTTTGCTTATGTAGTGCTGAGGAATTGAACCCAGAGCCTCATGCATGCAAGGCAAGCACTCTACCATTGAGCCACCTTCCCAGCCCTCTACCTGGGATTTCTTTGAACCATAATCCTAAAATCTTAGCCTTCTGAGTAGCTAGGATGACAGGCATGAGCCTCCAGCGCTGGTCAGCCCATGGTTCTTGACTTCATGCAAATAGGTCTGCCTCATGTTCCTGCTGTCCTGCTGCTGGTGGGGGCCTGAGGGTACCGCATGCTCCTTCTCAGAGGGCTCAGCACTGCCTGCAAGTCTCCCATCTCAGCTGCTAGACAGATTTGGATCTTTCTCTTTTTTCCACTCAGTTCAGGAAAAGAGAAAAGTGTTACTTGGTTGTTTCATTACACCAGAGTGTAAAATGGAGAGGACATTTTCCAGCACTCCATGGACCTCAGATAGGTGTCACAGAAACTGATGATTGTCTTCCTTTCTCCTCCCTCTGCCTCCTTGAGTTCAGTTCCTCTCATTTAGAATTTTGTTATAAAGTAACCAATCCCTTCACACACACACACACACACACACACACACACACACACACACACTCTTTAGGAGAATCTATGCTTAGAAATCATCAGGAAGTCTAGACTCAGCTAAAGGATAGATGAAGGATGGGCAAAGATCAAAGGCCGTGGACAGAAACAAGGCTTTGCCCTGCACAGGTCAAGTGAACAGGATTATCAGCAACCTGGTTTTGTGTGACTGTCATGTCTCCAGCATTGTTCTGTGTATTGTACATTCCTTCCTTCTGAAAAGTAGTAGGATGTTTGTTATGATTCCATTTTGGGGTACTGGAAATGGTGGTGCACACCTATAATCTCAGCAACTCAGGAGGATGGCAGGAGGAGGCCAGCTTAGGTGAAAAAGTTATTGAGACCCCATCTCAACCAACAAAGCAGGTGTAGTGGTTTGTGCTTGTAATCTCAACTATGAAGGAGGCCTAAGTAGGTGGTCCAAAGGTAGCCATAGGCAAAAAAAAACTAAAGCAGAAAGGGCCAGGGGCATGGCTCGAGTGCTGGAGTGCCGGTCTAACAAGCACAAGGCGCTGAGTTCAAATCCCAGTAGTACCACTAATTTGGATTCGTTAAGTTATATACATTTTCCATCAAAGGACTGCTGCAAAAAAACTCTTGCTGGGCGTTGGTGGCTCACACCTATTCCTAGCTACTCAGGAAGCTGAGATCTGAGGATCACAGTTCAAAGCCAGCCCTAGGCAGGAAAGTCTGTGAGACTCTCATCTCCAATAAACCACTCAGAAAACCTTAAGTGGTGCTATGGCTCAAGTGGTAGAGCACTTGCCTTGAGCTAAAGAGCTGAAGGATAGTGCCCAGAGTTCAAGCCCCACGACAAAAAAAAAAAAAAACACCTCTAGTAGCCAATAAGATAATAGATAATTGGTCCCATAGAAGAATGAAGGAGGGAGGGAGGGGCTGGGAAGGTGGCTCAGTGGTAGAGCGCTTGCCTTGCATGCCTGAGGCCCTGGGTTCGATTCCTCAGCACCACATAAGAAAAAAGAAAAAAGTCAGAAGTGGTGCTGTGGCTCAAGTGGTAGAGCGCTAGCCTTGATCTGAAGAGCTGAGGGACAGCGCCCAGGCCCAGAGTTCAGGCCCCACGACCGGACCCAAAAAAAAAAGTTAAAGGTGTGACTCAAGCAGTAGAGTACCTGCTTAGCAAACCTCCTTCCTATATCAGAACGTCAGAAGCCTCCGCATCAGACTAGGCTCCTCTTGCTCTGGTACCCACAGCCCATCTACCAACTTCACCTCCCTAGGCAGCCTCAGCTGCTGCTTCTCCTCCTGATGCCTCCACCCTAGTAGGAGCTGCCCTTCTCTCTCTCAGATTTTTGCCAGAGCCTTCTGCTGTGGTATTCCCCACATGGGACTCAGTGATCTGATCCCCTACCTCCTGTGCTCCACACACAGTCTTCACCACAACTCTCATTTCTTGAGCGGGACCATGCCAGGCCCTGTGCCAGGTTTCATGGTTTACCCACATCCTGTCAGTCCTACTCTGTCCCATGCCCACCCCCGTGCCTACTGTTAGCACAGTCCTTTCAGAGCTCTCTGCAATAGCCATCCCCCATCCCCAGTCTCAGTACCTCCAAGCTTACTGAGGAACCCAACAGTGACATGGGCCATCCCCTGTGAAGCCCAGGCCATCTTTAACCCTATAACATCCTCCATGTGCGCCATCCACATCCTGCTGTGGACCCTGAACGTCCCCCAAGCAACCATATCCCTTCATCTGTTAGTCATATAGCCCAGGGATCAGCGATGTTTGGATACAATGATCACCCTAACAGCCCAGGCCTGCCTTCATGGGACTGCCATCCCAGGTAGACATTAAGACAAGCGGTAAATGCCAAGAGGTTAAAAGGAAGGTGTTGAGCAGCTGTGGGTGAAACTCAGTGACAGAGCATACACTTAGCATGTACAAGGCCCTGGTGCCACCTCCAATAACACCATCAACAACAAAAAAGGGTGTTGAGAATGTCAGGAGAACCTCCTGTAGAGAACTAAATTAGGTAAGGACAGGTTCAATCCACGGCCAAGCTAAAGCCTCACACATAGATAGCCAAGCTTAACAGAGTTTACCATGAATCTGGCTTCTGACAAAAACGGAGGAGTCTGACTTTCTTAAGCCCACATTCACTAGTAGGGTGATAGGTGCCCCCTTCAGATGGAACTCAAAATACACCATTTGGCTCTAACACCCACAGTTCACATCCCTGCTGACATTGTTCCCAAGCTTGTGGGAGGGCCACGCTGAGATGAGTAAGAGTTATCCTAATGAAGAAAGAGGGGGCCTTGTTTATAAAGAAAGTACAGCTGAGCGCTGGTGGCTCACACCTCTAATCCTAGCTACACATGAGACTGAGATCTCAGGATCACAGTTCGAAGCCAGCCCAGTCAGGAAACCCTGTGAAGCCCTTATCTCCAGTTAATTACCAAAAAGCCAAAAAGTGGAGCTATAGCTCATGTGGTAGAGAGATAACCTTGAGAAAGACGCTCCAGGACTGGCACCAGGAGCAGGGGGTGGGGGGAGGGGAGCTATACATGCATCGTAATGAGCAAAATGCACATAAGTGGGATCAGCATTGAATGGGCCTAGCCTAGTGCCTGACACACGTCAGCATCAGCCCCACAGAATGTGCTTGGGCAGGGTGGCAGCAGGAGGAAGCACATTTTCTGTCCAGAATCCAGGAGCCTGAGCTGGGACCAGGTGATGCTCGCCCCCGATGGCCTTCTGGCGCCACCTAGGACAGACAGGAGTCAGCAAGGGTTCAATCTCAGGCATCCTGATAAGGACCCTCCAAAGGGGGTAACCAAACAGCTGAGCCTCCCTCCTGCCTGTTACCCTCAGGTGATGACCAACGGCTGGGAGACAGTGGACATGACCCTTCGGCGGAATGGGCTGGGGCAGCTGGGCTTCCATGTGAAGTACGACGGGACGGTGGCTGAGGTGGAGGACTATGGGTTTGCCTGGCAGGCTGGCCTCCGGCAAGGTAGCCGACTGGTGGAGATCTGCAAGGTGGCTGTGGTCACACTGACACATGACCAGATGATTGACCTGCTGCGCACCTCTGTTACTGTAAAGGTGGTCATCATCCCACCTTTCGAGGATGGTACACCTCGAAGGTAAGGGCATTGCCCTGAGTGGTGGAAAGCTCAGAGCTTTGGTGGCCTGGCCACCAAAGGCTGTAGTACAAGGGACTAGATGACTGGGCAGGGGAGATGGTGATAGTGATGGCGTAAGAGTGGACACCTGTGTGCAGCTTCCCGCTCTAAGCTCTTCATATGTGCACTATTACATATCACCTCCACAGTATCCCCTTCAGCCCAGCCTTGGGTCTTCCCAGCAGAGCCAGTACGTGTGCCAGCTAGGTCTTGAAGGGAGGAGTCATGGACTGCTCTGTATCTATTTCAAGGCTCTGGATCTTGTAGCTTTTTTTTTTTAACCACTCTGCAAAGTAGGTCACCTGCTCCTCTTCCAGCAGCCTTTGAGATTCTCTAGAACAAAACAGAGTCTGTCCTTTGATTCAGAGGGCATCTGCCTTTCCTGCCTAAGTACTGCTCAGGGGGGCCAAGCTGATGCTTAGAGGTACTGGCCAACTGGAGGCCTGGGCCGGAAAGGGGAGGGGCCAGGAGGAAGGGAGATGGGAAACAGGTCTGGCTGTCACAACCCCTGTATTGGGCCCTGTCCTAGAACTCTGAGCTGCTAAGTTTCAGGCTCTAGTTTAAAGGTTACCTTTAAATAGGCCATCATGGCTCAGATTTGGCCAGCAAAACCTAGCCCAGTATAGACAAGGCCCCTCCTTGGCATCAGGCCTATGTGCTGGTTGCTTGGAGCCTCCCTAGTAATGAAGTTCTTCCTAGAGGGTGGCCGGAGACCTATGACATGAACACCTCGGAGTCCAAGGCTGAGCCAGAAAGTACCACTCCTGGGGGCCGGCCCCCCTATCGCAGCAATGCACCCTGGCAGTGGAGTGGGCCTGCATCCCACAACTCCCTGCCAGCCTCCAAGTGGGCCACCCCAGCCACTCCTGGTCATGCCCAGTCCCTGAGTCGGCTCCCGAAGCAAACTTCCATGGTCCCCTTCCGGGAGTCGCAGCCACTGCACAACAAAAGGTAAGAATCCTCAGAGGGAATCCCCATCACCCCATCTCCTACCCACCACAGCTGTCCTTCACCTCTCCTTCCTATATTCTGTTCTCTTTTCAGTCAGTCCACCTGCCCTCTTACCCTTCTGCCTCTTTGAGCCTTCTCCCTCCCTCCTTCTTCCCTCCCTCCCTCCTTCCTTCCCTTCCTTCCTTCCTTCTTTTCTTCCTTCCTTCACTCCCTCCCTCCTTAAACTTGAAAAGGGCCTGGGTCGCAGGTTGGAATTCTCTCATGCCAAGTGTATTAGAGTTCACCTAAAGAATAAGCACAAATTGTAGGACAGTGACTTCTTAGGGGCAGTGGAGGAATGAAGACCCCATCTGGCGTCACTACCCTCATCCATTCCTTGGAATGAGTGATTACTTTGGAGAGTTCGATGATGATGGTATTTAATCCCAAGTATGCTCTTGAATACATTCTATATTAAAAGATAAAGAGGTCTAGGGGTATGGTTCAGAGGAAGAATCTGGATTCTGTCCCCAGTGACTCCAACTGGCAGAAGGCCATTTTGTCCCAAGAAAGAGACAAGAGCCAGCCTTTGAAGCCCTTGCAGAAACTGGGTTTAGGCTGGCCACTGAGCCAGGAAGAGAGGCTCTTTGAAGACTAGAGAAGTCCTCCCCTCACCATGCTGTGTTCGTCTCTTCCAGGCCCGTCAGCTTCCCAGAAACTCCATACACAGCATCACCAGCAGGGGCCGACAGAGTCCCTCCCTACAGACAACCTTCTGGGAGCTTCTCCACCCCCGGCTCAGCCACCTACGCCAGATACAAGCCATCCCCAGAAAGGTCAGAATCTCTTCTTGTTAAGAATGTGGAATCTAATGGAAACTATGAATCCTTCTTCTCCAGGAAATCCATTCCAACAACTTTATTTTTCATTTGATACGATGTTTCTGTACTTAAGCTCATCAGAAGACTCCCAGAGGGTCTGACATTTAATGTTTCACATGAAAATTTCTAGCAGAGCTGTGGCTTAAGTAGTAGAGCACCAACCTTGTGTGAAAAAGCTAAAGGAGAGCATGAGGCCCTGAGTTCAAGCCCAAATAGTGGCACAAAAAAAAGAAGCTTCACCCAGGCACGGTGGCTCACGTCTGTAATCCTAGTTACCCGGGAGGCTGAAATCTAAGGATTGAGGTTCAAAGCCAGCCTGGGCAGGACTGAGACTCTTTATCACTGGTCAGCCAGCAAAAAACTAGCAGTGGTTCCAGTAGTAGAGTGCCAGCCTTGAGTGTGAAAAGCCAAGCAAAAGCACAAGTCAGACATGGTGGCAAAGAACTCTGATACCAGCATATATAAGGCTAGGGTAGGAGGACCAACAGTTTGAGGTTGGCCTGAGCTGTATGGCAAAACTATGTCTCAAAAATAAAAAGGGAGGGGCTGGGAAAGTGACTCAGTGGTAGCATGCTTGCCTGGCATGCATGAGGTTCTGAGTTCAATTCCTCAGCACCACATAAGCAGAAAAAGCTGGAAATGGTGCTGTAGCTCAAGTAGTAGAGTGCTAGCCCTGAGCTGAAGAGCTGAGGGACAGAGCCCAGGCCCAGAGTTCAGGCAGGCCCCACAACCCACACAAATAAATAAATAAATAGGAATAGAAAATTTCAGTAATACAGGCCATGGCTTTTACTTAGAAGCCATCAGTGCTCCCATGCACACACGTAGTTCTGAGCAGTTTTATCACAAGCATCACCACAAGACTCCTTATGTTCTATTCATAGCTACTGCATTGGTAACCCTTGGAAGCCATTTATCTATGCTCCATCTCTTAGCTGTGATTAATGAATGTTATGTGAAAGGGATCTAGTATTGTTTTCTTCACTAAGCACAAGGTCCTTGAGGTTCATCCATGTTGTTTCAGGTATCATTGTCAGCTCTTACTGAGTTTGTTACTGTGGTATGGATATACCACAGTTTAACCCCTCATCCCCTTGGAAGACATTTGGATGCTGAGTGTATACTGTCACAAATATTCATACTATGAACAGTACCTCAGGCATACAAGTTTCTGTAAGAAAATAAGTTTTCATTTGGGATAAATGCCCAAGAGTACAATTGCTTACCATATGGTAAGTCCATTTTATATTCCCACCAGCAGCGTATGAATGATCCAGTTTCTCCACATTCTCACTACCATTTGGTGTTGTTGCTATATTTCATTTTAGCTATTCTGATGGGTTTGTGGTGACATGTCATTGTGGCTTGAATTTGCATTTTTCTGATGGCTAACGAAGTAGAACATTTTTTCGTGTGCTAATTTGCCATCTATTTATCATCTCCCTCGAAATCTCTATGCATATCTTTTGCCCATTTCTTTTCTTCCAACACTGGAACTCGAACTTGCTATCTGAGTTGTGAGTTCAATATTGCACAGACTTTCTTGTTCAGGCTGGCTTTGAAACATGATCCTCAGCTCTCAACCTCTTGAATAGCTAGGATTACAGGTGTAAGCCAAGCAGTGCCCATCTTATTTTCTCCCAGTCTTTTATCTTTTTTTCTCCTATTCACAAGATTTTATTTTCAAATAGATACATGGATAATTTTTTTTCTGTCTCTCCTGGGGATCAAACGTAGGGCCTCATGTTTACTAGACAAGCAGTGTTGTACTTGAGCCCTTCTACTTTTAGTTTGTTTTTCAAGCAGGATCTTACTTTGCATTTCTAGAGTAGCTTGGATTATATAGTCATGTACTACACTCCACAGCCTTTTTTTTTTTCATCTTTATGGGATTTTCTTAGACTAAAACTTCTTAATTTTGATGTGGTTCAAAGTGCCATTTATTTTCCTATTGTGAAGCATGTGTTTGGAGTTATCTAAATCTCTGCCTAGTGCTGGGTCAGATTTCCTTGTGTGTTTATGTTTTGTTTTCCTTAAAGGCTTTACTGTTAGACATTTAGGTTCTTGATCTATTTTAAGCTGGCTTTTGTCAGGTGAAAGGTTGGGGGTGAGGTTCTTTTTTTTTGCCTCTGGATACCTGATTTGGTCTGGCACCATTTATTAGGAACTGGCTTCCACTATATTACTTTTGCTCTTTAAAGCAAAAATGGCGTGTGGGCTAAAGTAGTGGTACATGTACCTAGTATGTGCAAAGCCCTGCAAAAAAAAAAATCCAACTCTGCAAAAAAAAAAATTGTTTTAGGGGCTGGGCATGC